GCGGCAGGGAAGGGGGAACCCTCCCAAACAGCTTCGATTCTTGACCCGTTGGCCCGTCCGCAGGGAGGTTTTGGATCTGAGCGCTCCATCCAGGCAAACATCTGCCGGCTGAGAGCCCCCGCGGGAGAGAGGAGTCAGCGGGAACGCTGCACTCCCGCAGGCAGGGCAGGGATGGAGAGGCTGGTTTTCTGCTCCTCTTTGGATGCCTCCCAGCACACCCTCTGCTCCTCCCTGCACCTCGCAGCGCACCCCTGCAGGCACCCCAAGCCCCCAGTGCTCTCCCCGGTACCACCCCACCAGGGCTCCCCTTCCTTCCCTCCTTCCTTCCCCTGTGATCTGCCAGAGGGCAGCAGGACCCTGCAGGCCCCCCCCGAGGGACCCCCGCTGTGCCCACACTCACCTTCGTGCCACGTGGATGACACCACCTCGGCGAGGACCACCAGCAGGATGGGGGCTGCCTCCTGTGCCATGCTGGGGGCCGGGGGCTGGCCAGCCCCGCTGCAGCGCTGGGTCCGGGGGCAGCCGCGAGCCCTCAGGGGGATGGAGAGGAGCTGGAAAAAGGGCGACAGCCCCCGCCGTCGCCTTGTCACTGCACAGACGCCTGACCCTCCTGCCTGTGCTGAGCAAGCCTACTCTCCCCTTCTGCCGCCCGTCCCAAACATTCAAAAGCCGTGAGTCAGGCCCGAAATTATGAGATTGTCAAAAATAATAAATCCCAGGATGATCCGTTTTCCAACCCACCTCCTGCTTTTCCGAGGCTTTAAAAGGTTGTTAGATTTTTATTTCTTTTTTTCCTTGTGAGCAGAAGAGCCAGCAGCTCTGACTCGGGAGAGAGCGTAGCTGAGCCTGTGCCAGCCCTGCCGGGCTCTGGGAACGGGGGTCGTGGGGGATCGAGGACAAAACCGTGGAGCCAGGACCCTTTCCCCACCTCCTGCTAGGAGGGAGGGAGGGAGGGAGAGATCCTGCTGCAGACGGCGGGCTCCAAAACCGGTCCGGAGACAAGCGCTTCCAGCTGGGGTCTGTTTTCCAGCTGGAGTTCGGCCCCCACTAGGCAGAGGTAACGAAGTGCGGTTTGTTAGGACCTGTCGCCCCACATCCCATGGGGCTGGAGGGGAAAGGTGAGACAGGAGCTGCTGCCAGGCAGGATGTGGGCTGTGGAGCGCAGGACTGCAGGGGTGAGGGCGGGCGAGGGACGAGCCTGGCACGGACAGGTAGGAGAGCTGGCGTGGGGCGGCGGAGCGGGGGGGGGGGCGGGCACGGGGCCCG